TATATAAAATATTAAATTAAGACTGTTACGGTTAGCTAACCTGCTTCCAGATTGGGAGGGGGTAGTGGGAGGGAGGGAAATTATCCTGATTTTTGTTTTTAAAAGAGGAAGGATTTTCGTCATTTTCTCTTCTAGTATTACTGGGGGGGGGCGGGTTCCTTTGTTTTTTATTGTTTTGAGAATTACCTGGGTCTGTGAGGGCACTGTGAGGTCATCTACCATTTTCAGTCTGTCCATCCTGCAGTATCATTTGAACTGGTACTTTTTTTGGATATGTGTTTCTCTTTTGGCTCTTATCCAGGCCCTGTTATTTCTTTCTTGGTGTTCCCTCTAGGGTTTTGTTCCTACTGAAGGGGAGGTTCATTGTGAGAAGCAGGTTTTCTAGCAATGTTCATTTTGCCTCTGGAATGATAGAATTGATAGTCAAAAAGTATGTAAGATCTGAAGGATAGGATTTCCCTTCTTTGCGGTCACTGGAGAAAAGTAATCTGCTGTATTACTGTCACACTTCCATCTTGCTCACTACGGATCTTCCATAGCTGTGTGGAAAACTGATTTCCCATTCATTTGTATTGATGCCAAAATAACTTTCCTTACGATTTCAAATAACCTGCCCTTCCCTTTCAGTTGCAAAAATGTCAAATCAAAGGACATATCTTGCATTCTTTGTGCACCCAAAACTATATACTGAATGCAAGACCAACACTTAAGATTCCTGATCAGCATGTATGTCACTGTCTTTTATTTTGTTCTGTTGTTTCTGGCCTGACGTTGTACCTCACCTCCCCCACTTAAAACATTTGTGAGAATTCTTTCCAATGCAAACTCTCAACGTACGTGGATTCTTTCATCTAAAACAGTGTCTGACACTTAGTAATGTTTGAAATCCTTATCTAGGATTAGCACTTGGACTTAATATTTTAGGCAGAGAAGACCACCTAACAGTAATATGCACACAAAAAGAGTAAGAAAGAAAAGAAAAAAATTATTTCTTTAGATTTTAAATGTGTCTGCATTTAAATTAAACTTTCTTAGGTTTACAAAACTTTGCTTGTAAAATCTGAATATTTCGGAGACCTTCTTCCAGTGCTAGGCAACTTTCAAAAAATTGAATCGGTAGATTTTCTCACTACATGCTAAGTGTTTCTTAACCCTACAACTTTTATTTCAGATCTCTGTAAATTAGCATAGGTGACTTAGTTGCTTTGGGTCAGGAATATATGATTATTGGCTTAAGGGGATACTGTCAGATATTTTAGGCTCATATTTTTTATACCATATCCTTAACATCTTAAATATGAAAGGCGTGATTTTAGTTACAATAAGATGGTACAAAGGAACATCAATGCAGGTTTAAATGTAAATAAGAACCAGGACCTAAATTTTTTTTAATTACGTTTTTCTGTCACCAGTTTTTTGAAGTGACATGTTTGTATAATTCTCCAATATTTTGGCTTGACTCTAAAAGGAACACAAGTTAATTAGCAAATATTATTCTCACGTCATATCGATAGTATTCATGCTGTCATGATGAACCAGGAAGTGACAGAGAGAGAGCCTACGATACAAAGGGTAAAAGGCAATGTTTGCCAAATACAGAACCCACTAAATCTGTGCAGGAAAAAATGTTCCCATTACGTGGCAGGGAGAAGGGGAGACTATACAAAAGTATTTGACGATGTCCCTTGGATGAAAGGAGTTTTCTGATATCTAGTGACATGATCAGACAAAGCTGTGTTGTCTCATTCAGCCGAATGAAAGATTTCCCACACCTTTATATTTATAGCGTGCCCATTCATCAGCTGAGGCCTGCAGAAATTTGCCATTGAGACTTTTTTTAAGAAGCCAAGACATTGAATAGTTGCAATATTAGTCTGATGTCAAGGGAGATATACCAGAGAGGACATAAGATCAAGATTTACAGCCTCAGAAAGTTGAATGTAGACAGAACAATCATGTTCAGATTAGAAATCTTCAATTTTCAACCTTCCCTAAATCAAACTAGCATCATCTTCCAAATGCAGATTTATAGCAGAACCTCATCAATTCTCACAAGTTAATTAAAGACCCATTGTGATTGATTCAACTGAGCCAAGTAAAGAATAAGCAAGGAAATAGGTTGCAAATAAATAAACAAGAGTAATGCATCCCCAAATGAGCTTTAAATGATTTGACAAGCAGTTTAGGCCAAGATTTTCAAAAATGGTTGCCTTAAATTTAAACCAATTTTAAGTACATGGTTAGGTTCAGTGTAAGAGGCCTGGTTTTTCTAAAGGGCAGTGTACTCTGCAGTTTGGATTTAGCACTAGTAGATAAATGCTCAGCATTTGAAAATCAGACCACTTATTTCAGTGCCTTGTTATGGACTCAAGAGCCTTTTAGGCACTCATCTTTGAATGTGTAGGCCTTGTTTTTTAATGGGTGTGAATTCTGAGGTGTGTGAATTAGTGAGGTCCTACTATAACTATCTCTTGCAAAGGAGGTGAAGGCACAATTTGTATTTCATAGGAGCTATCTAGAATAGTGACTGAAGTCACCAGCTTTACGCATCTGGAGACTTGAATAGGATGAGTTTTATACAAGGCCCTAGGGTTTATCCCTCTTACAGAAGTCTCACACAGTTTGGCACAATTAATAATCTCATAAGGGGAAGAAGAGGAGTGGAAAGGTGTGGGTATTTTGCATAAGATACTTTGAAGACTCTTTCACAACAGCTGTCTCCATTATGTCTGCTTCCTGCCAATGCTCTTAGCTGCACTCAGATTCACCCCACTTTGTCATGAATTTCTATTAGAACGACAGGGACATTTTTGGAAAGGCAACAATAAGCACTTAAGGCTGCCACGGATGCCCTTGGAGAACGAGATTTGCACCAGGATCAGAGACCAAGCAAAGTCCATTTGTCTTTGATGTTAGTATTGTTTTAATCCAAGAGAGATGTGCGTATAACCACTGTGAGTCCAGGCCCTCATTTCTTCCACACAGAACTCCCAGTGGAGTATGAGATGCCCACTTAATGCTGGATCAGTCACTCTGCAAGCAGCAAGCTTGGGAAACAAACTTCTTGCATCCAGCAGGTGTTTTTCACTGGGACCTTCTGTTAGGGGTGAAACTAAAAGCACTGAGAGAAGAGAAACAAGAGAGACCCATTTCAAGATACTTGAATCCAGACTGAAGTGTGAAACATCCAGACCAAACCATTTCAAATATGGCCAGCCCCTCGAGGTATGTCTACCCAGCATTTTGAACTGAGCAAGACCAAGTCTCCC